GGGGGGGGGGGGACACACACGCACGCGAACCAGAACGCCTCGGCAGAGGACAGCCTCCCGCGGGCGATGGACCATAAGCACTTCGTGTACGTGTGGATCGCGAGCACGGACCACGTGCTTCACGCGGCGGTCGTCAATAACGGGGACGGAACGCTGACCGCCACCTATGAGAGCCCGTATCCTGGGGACTACCTTGTACACATCCAGGACGTTTGCACAGATATGAGCGTCGTCGGAAGAGGGAACAAGCGCGCATGGGAGAGGGCTAAGGCGATCGTGGATAGCCCGTTCAAGTTGACCATCTCTGGGGAGATAGCTGTCGACGTGGATGGTCTTCCTCTGTGTGACGCCGAGCACCCTCAGGAAGATGAAGTAGACACCTTCTGGCGCACAGGATCGTGGATATCCTCAAAGTTTGCCAGTGCAAAACATGGCGTGTTACGGGACGGGTGGGTCTTCCAGCCCAAGACCTGCGTCCACGACACGTTCTCGTACGACGATCTCATGCTACTGGCCACGGGTTTGAAAGAACCGACTTGGCTTTTGATCCTGGGGACATCTGTCCAGCGCGGGGTGTTCTTGACGCTCGTGGACATGGTCCTCGCCCAGGGGCAAAAGAGCGACTTTTCCACCAGCGCTATCCAAAAGTGCTGGGGCTTCGCAGAGATTCGCGTTGGGAACCTCCGCCTTACGTATCAAGTGAGTGTGGCTGCTAACGGCAGGGTCAATAGAACCGTCACCCGGCGTTCCTGTTTTACTCTTGGTGCATTTGAACAGATGCATTCGTTCAGCGCGCCGTGTCCTCGGTCGAATTTGTTTTTCAGTTGGACTCTCTCGCGAAAATCGCATACCGTATATGACACAAGACAACACACCCCTTGGACCGATTTTCAAAGCTCGATTACTCCACGACGAAGAAGATGCATAAACGAAACGATACATTTCCGAAAAGATCTCGACGAGACGGTTTCAACGCCGCCGTTTTCGGCGCTGTGACTGTTCCTGCAGTTGAGAAATCGAGCTTCGAAAATTGGTCGAGGGGGCGTGTTATCTTGTGTCATACGGTACTCCGACACGTCCCACCAACGTCGTTGACCCGCCCGACCTTTTCCCTCTGGTTCGATTCCCTCCGGCAGGACCTACGATTACACGAGGTCGGACTAGCGCAGGACGACTCCGCCGTTTGTCACGACGACAAGCTAGCGATAAGCAACGTCGCCGTTTTCGTGGCCGCAGCAAGGCGTTTCCTTAGGAGAAGTGTTTTCGCGGCAGGCAAACAGTGGCCTTCGGTGATCATGGCCCCACCGTTCATGGAAGACAGCGACGAAGCTGCAAATCTACCAATCACGGTATGGAATCCTGCTTTTGTTCAGCCCGCTCTACTGTAGGAAAGGAGAAGATGAAGGTTGCATCAAATTCTCATCCTGGCTGCAACACGCTCGTCCATGAATCTAGTAAATAGCGTCCATGATACGCACCGCCGATTTCAATTTCAGGTCATCATGGACGCGCTTCCTTCGGCATGGAACGGCACGCTCCTCATGATGGAGCATATGGCCGGGTTGGTGAGTGAGATCGAGCACAAGCCGATTGCACGTGCGTTTGACGCAACCATCTGTAGGACGCCAATGCCCCCAAGCCAACACGTGCCACGCTTCAGCAGTCGAGCTTATCGTCGACCTGATCCAATATCAATGGAGGGTGTCATGCTCATGCCCTTCGTCGTTGGGTGTGTGTCTGTTTTTACGCGCAGGGATTCACTTACAACTACGATAATCCCACCGCGGCAACCCTAGCCGAGGTGAACCCTACGTGGCACCTGAGCAAATTCATCGGTGTCGACAACGGCCTCGGGCGGATTAAGAGATATCAGCAGCAGGATGCTCGTACAACGTTCATGAGCACGTTCCCGGTGAGACGGCTGTTCTATTCCGAAGGGTGTGGTCGCTTCTCCCGCCGTCGTGTGTGACTTTCTCTCGTCGCACAATGGTGATAGGGTCCACACAGTGGACGGGCAGTCGCCAGGAGGGGTGGAGCGCCCATCCCATCACGTGTCCTACAGTAGGGCCAAGACAAATATCTGTAAGGCGCTTCACCGAGACACCATTACCATGCTGAATTCCAAAAGGGGACGAACTCACCACTCAAGAATCTTGAACGATTGAAGTGGTCGCGGTGCTAATGGGTGATATCGATATATATTTTGCGAGTATTGGTGATATTGCGTCAGGGATAATCGTATTTATAAGAGGAGCGGGTGATTGAGAGAAACAAATATGTGTTGGAGAGCCTGGAAAATTGAGATGTTCTACTATTCTATTCAATCGTTGCAAATAGATCTTGGTTGGCGACTCGCTGTCGGCTCGTATTGCTCGATGGCCGAACAACCGAAACAAAACACCCAAAACTGCCGAAAAGATGAGTCTGTCGCTTTTTGTAGCCGGGGGCAGACAACGTGTTGCTAACGAGTTCATGGATCGTTGTTTCAGGGTGCGTTCGCCTGTGACCACGGGAACCGACCTCGTCTGTTGGATCAGTACCATCAGATGAGGTACTGGGTAGGGAAATCGGGACGGTATTTTATGAAGGCAATCTCACCATCACTATCACCACCACCAACAACATCATTAGCATATAAAATAGGAAATAGTGGGTATACCCATCCCTTTCTCATAAAAAAAGCGGGTACTCGAAAATATTAAAATACCACCACATCCAACAACAACAACAACGACAACAACAACAAACAACCTCACAACAACAACAGCACTAACAACAACAACACCACCACCAACAACACATTGGTATAAAAAATACCACCACCACCAACGACGACGACGACGACGACGACAACAACAACAACAGCAACAACGCGGAGGCGACTCTTCAACAAGTCCCGTCTGCGATGTATGCACACGCGCAGTTTCGCAAATTGATAGTCGCGCGCTCAAGCCTATCTATCCCGAACCCACGAGATGAAAAACTCCAGAACAGTCAAGCAAAACCGCCAGCAACGGATTTTCCTTCTGGGCGTGTCCTGCTGCAGATGTACCAGTCCAGACTGTTCGAAAACGAGTTTTCGTCTCCTGGACGAGCGTGCTACGGATGTAGCTACCACTACCATTACGTGACGAAGCCGACTGCACCAGAATCGTTCGACGGGTCCAGGATGATTCACTCCGCGGTTACCGAGATGCTGGCAAACGTGAGTTCCAACGAGGATTAGTTTGGGTTTTGGTCAAGGTTTGGGCTGGTGTGATGACGTTGTCCTTGCTTCTCAGTCCTATTATATATAGCGCAAGCACGCCACTTTCCGTCGAACAAAAGTCACCGTGCACCTTGCTTGTTTCGTTGTTTTCATTAAGACGTTGAGTAAAGAGGGAATCGTCGCCGACAGGTGTTGCAAAAATGTGGCCCTATTTTGCAAGGCCATCTCCAAAACAGTTTTTTTTCACAGACACGTTCTTTGTACGTGCATGGTGAAACGCGCGCGATTACGCTGTTGGCAGGCGCAGGCAGTAGTTCCTTGCACCAATGTGTTTTTCCTCCCACCGATGATTGCGTCCGGGCTTGGTTGGCAGATTGTGATATCGAAAGCTGTCGGGTCGAAAGCAGCTTTGTACGAAAAGGCGACCCCCTCGACAGACACACACCGTGGTGGGGGAAACAAAACCTTTGAGGTGAGAGCTAGCGCTATAAGTCGGGTCCCGCCCTGCAACAAATAATGCGGTCTAGAAAGAGGAGACTCGATGTTGTTGTAGATGGAATATCATCACTCAGCTGTTGGGAACCGTACCAAGACGTGTTCGTGTGCGGGGGGGGGTAGTGGGCTTCCTTTTTCTTGTCGCTGCTGCGTAGCGACGCAGCGTTCGTCGGCTTGGTTCCACAATACAACGTGTATGGCGGCTCCATCGGCCATGTGATGGCAGATGGCAATGCCTCCGAGCGGAGGGGCAATTTTTTGTACATGCTCGACGCGGGACATGCTGCATTCCGAGCCAGAGGTGCCCCATCAATATCGCCATGGCTGGGGTTATTGGTTGTAGCCAGATGCCGTGGTATCCTGATGCTGGGGCATGAGGATGGTATTCGGGCGGATTGCTGTAGATATCTCGTGTAAGACAAAATTGGCACCAGGTAGGGTGCTTGCGGTACCCTAACCGCAGTAGGAAGAAGCAACGACCGGCGTTCCCCTCTCCTTGCATTCCGTTTCTCTTTGGCAGGTTTGCACAGACTGTCCCGCGAACTTGATTCCGCATCACGTTAAGCCGGTTCCTGTGCCGGTGTGCGATGCCACCTCGGTTTTGGCTGGTGACGCTGCAGTGGGCGAAGCGTGGGGCGGTAGAGGTTGCCCGCAGTGGTGCTCGAAAGAACCGGTGGATGGGGTGCTCAACTTGAAAGACGTCCGGGTGTGCAGTAGGGCACGCAAGTGACTATTGTCTTGGTCGACAGCACCTTTTATATAGACACACGTACGACTTCAGCGTGGTGGAAAAGGAGGTGCTGCAGCAACGTGAGTTTGTTCCCGTCGCTCCTACTTGCACGTTCATGGCGATCGGTTCGGGCCGCTGTGGGGTGTATTTCCAGCGCGAGTTTCTTCTGGTTGGGCGAGACACAAGGAATTCCACTAGCTTTAAGCCTAAACGACATGTCTAGACTACTATTACACCGGACTGGTACATACACACTATAGTTTAAATTTGTAGGGGAAAGGCGTTGTTGGAACCAAGCACGCGGGCAATAGGGGTTGTGTCGTTCTACCAACTATATCATCACGGATGTGTGCACGTTTCCTCTGTAGCCAGCGTTCAGAGCCATGCATAATCTAGGCCTTTGGTTTGGGCGTTCGGATTTGGGTAATCTTGCTCGCTGTATTGTGGGCGTGGTGATGGTCGGCTATTGTGTGAAATTCTGAGAGAATGATTTGTTTGGCCCCCCACCCACTAGGATCCGGGGACCCATTATCTTTGGTGGACGCCAAACCCTCTTGGGGGCGGGGTTGGCGAGAAGTGGTCGGGTGGGGTGGGGTATATGGCACAACGGAACTAACAGCAGTGCGATTCCATGATAGATTTTCCTTGTATTTCCACACACGCATGCACATCGTGGAATCTTTCTGAGAATGGACAGTTTGGTTTGACTTCTGGTCGCCAACTACATGACAGACAGCCAGGCCAGCAGTATCTCCGGCGTTTGAGTCTGACCGCGTGTTTCGAGCATGATTATACTGTTTTCCCGGTGCTGTAGTAGTTATGGGTGGTCTGTCCGTGTGTGTGGCGTGGAGCATACAGATATCATCGGTTTCGATCCCCACACACATCGTCTTTGTAGGTACGTGTCGTGTGTGGATGGGAAGGCCGGCGGAGTTACACCCCGGCCTAGGTTGTAGAGGACAAAGATAGAATCACACAATTTTTCTATTTTCTATCTTGATTGGTGATCCTTTCATTCTACTACGAAGTATTGTTTTATGTTGATCGGCTTCGCGTGCCGAGCGGGGGAGTAATGACTCCATTCGTTGAGCGCAAATTTTCCCTGTTTCCTTTTTTGTGGATGTGTCACTGGTGGCTGGTTGGATCATCCTGTTTTGTTTCGGTTTATCCGGGTCCCAAATCGCGTTTGTTTGCGATTATTTTTGATGGTGGGGATCTTTTTTCTTGTTGTTTTGTGCTCAACATCGCGGGTTTTGTGATGATTTGGTTGTTTGGGTCATTTTTTGTTTTTTCTTTGTTTTGTACGCTATGGAAGTGTGCACCTTTTGCGAGGGTAATTGGTCTGTGACCACCGAAGTAAGGCGTCCGCGTCAGTCAGTTGGACGGTACTGAACAGATCCAGACCGGAATAACAGTATTAACGACCACAAATCTATTCATGTGGTTTGGAGGTCCACAAGCATGCATGCGTGTTTGACGTTGCGAGACTGGCGAGGTCAAGCAGGGAGAATTTCACAACGAACGACGTCAGCTTAGGGGAATGAGAAGCTCATTCAGTTCTTTTTCTCAAAGTCCATGTTTTTATAGACCGGTGAAAAATACTGCTACATAATAACTGCTGATGATGATGGTGACAAGGAAAGATTTTTTAGGACCCTTCTTTTGATATTTATCGTTGTTTCCCTTCCACGTCGCTTTCCTTCTATTGTTGGCAATGTTCTACCCTCCTCCTTGTCCCTGTTTTTGTGTTCAGAATATGCGCTTTTTCCACTTCGAAAAAGCGTTTTGTTCTCCGGGAGACATATGTAGATCCGGAAGTCCTACGACATATAGCGTTGTTACTTTGTAGCGCTCATATTTTTGGCCGAGCCTCTTTTGTTATTTTTCCTCCGCGGGGCGTTTAGAGTCTAGTCTAGAGTAAGATTCTTGACTGAGATCTTGTGCTAATGGCCAAGTCCTCATGAGTTCATCTGCTGTATCTTTTTTTGAGCCGAGATTTCTTAACCCTTCCACGACCCTCCTAGAACTGACAGCCCAAATGGAGCCATTTTGGGGACACAGCACTCAAATACCACACCGTAGTCACCCTAGGCTCCGCTGAGTGAAACGCACGTGAGAACCCAGACACTTCGAGGACGCAGCACCCAAATACCTCACCGTAGTCAACCTAGGCTCTGCTGAGTGAAACCTACGTGAGATCCCTTGGTCTAGGTCTAGGGTTGGTCGAGGGCGCTACAGCCAGGATATGACGACCCCAACGAACTCGGAACGAGACGCGTGAATGATGATTGTGCGAAACGTTGCATTGTGTTTGTGGCCCCCGTGCCTTCCCACGGTAGTGCGAATGTAGAGTCTGGGGACTATGTCACCCTAGGAGATGAAGATGACATGACGCGTTGATTATCACACACTCGGTGCTCCTTCCAGCACACGCTCAAATGTACGAAGTACAGAACGACGCAGACATGGAGAGAACACATGCGCGGGCTCTCGAGGTCCGGCACTTGGACCACCGAAAGCATACCGCCCACACACATACATACACTCAAGATCGGGTCTCTCCAGATCGGATCTTGTATCCAACGACCCCAAACAATCATCCCGACGCCTCAAACAGGCAGCTTCCGAACGTCGATATATTGGAATACCGACAGGGGGAACGTATGTTCCCTACATGTCCTATTTATGCGTTCAGTTTGATGTGAGTCCGTAGTATTCTGTCTCATAACGAGGATAATGTAATTATCGACAAGTAGGATTTGGGTGGGGCCTCCTGCGCCGGCTGGGGGTCTTCGCCTCGTATGTCCTCCCCCGCGCGACGCGGCCACGGGTTGGGTATCCTTCGCTTGGGGTAGCGCCTACTACCGATGAACGATCCAGGTATTCCGAAGACCTGCATGAACTTGACGGGCGGGCGGTATGGTCCCAAGAATTTCTCACTCAACTATGCCCGCGATGTTTTGGGACCGAAAGCAAGTCACGTAGTCCCAGATATTTCGACACAATCTGCGGTTCCACGATTTGTTCCAAACCGCGATCCATTCGATCGGAACGGATAACCTGCCGGGATGAAGGGGGGAAAGGTCTCGTCCTTCGCGCTCCGCGGCTCGTTACAACGCATTTTCAGTGTGCTCTCATTGACAATATTTTCCGTCAGATCAGTGGTGGTTTGGTTTGAATGCTGATTCCGAGATCCCCACCACCTCCCAAATAGGCTTTTGCTTGGCAACGTTGTGATATAGAACTACGTGGCCAGCATAAACGAGGTTGGTAGGCTAGCCTGTGGAACGTTCGGATCTCAGAATCAGGGCCCACACCAAACACTGATGGAAAGTGTTGTTGTCAACGCGAGCTTGCTGAAAATGCTTTGTAACGAGCCGCGGAGCTCGAAGCGCGAGAGCTTTCCTTCATCCTTCATCCGAGCCGGGAAAAAAGGTTCGAAGTATCGGCCTGTTCCGACGCGATCCTGGGGCCCCAAACTTGATTTCCGGGTGACCTAATATTGTCTACCCATTTTTCGAGCAACCACCAGAACGAACGAGCACCGATTGATGATCTACTGGCCTCTGAATAGGAAGAAAAATACTACCTCTGCCCCGATGTATTAGCGTGATTTGGACAAAAAGCGGTCTATCTTCGCCAATTTTTGGTCTTTCTCCGAACCGTTTTTTTCCTTGGTTTCGCCGCACTCGCGCGGGGCGCGCAGAACCGCGCTTTTTTTCAAACTCATCCTAAAAGGTGTGTCCCACCCCAGCAGAAGTTGCTCGATATCACCACCCCAACTTTGGATCTCCGCCCAAAAGCCTTCCCATCTACTGGTGAGGGATGTCTGCAGCTGGGAGCGCCTCCCAGGTGGAAAAACGCAACAAAGAGGAAAGTGAGGAGGTGATTCGGTACCTCCTCGCTGGCAGCAAGAACAGGGTTTTGAGGTATGGTGCGTTCAAGGAAGCCGGCGAGACGTTCGGCTGCCACTGGGAGACGATCAAGAGGCTGTGAATGAGGTACGATACGCAGCACAAAGCGGGGGTCGCCAGTCCACAGATAGAGAACCGGCGCAAGGGAAATAGCGGCCGGAGGGGCATTCCCCTCGAAGAACTGAAGGAGCGCCTGCGTGACATCCCGCTGAACGACCGCACCACACAGCGCCGCTTGGCTGCGGCGCTTGGGATTCCCAAAAGCACGCTGCACAGGAATCTCAAGGCGCTCGGGCTGAGGGCGCACTCGAACGCGCTCAAGCCGTACGAAGTGTGTGGAGGTTACGAAGTAGACCTACAAGGCGAAGCTGATCGACGAGGTGATCCCCGCAATCAAAGAGATGTGGCCAGCTGCAACTAGCTACAACCCCATCTTCCTGCAGCAGGATAACGCGAGGCCGCACCTCATCACTAGCGACGCGGACGTGCTGGAGGCGTGTACCTCGGATGGATTCGACAGCAGACTCTGAAACCAGCCTCCCAACAGCCCTGACACCAACATCCTGGACCTGGGCTTCTTCGCGTCAATCCAGTCCCTGCAGGACCGCTACAAGCCCAGGACTATCGACGACCTCGTCGGCGAGGTCGAGACCGCGTGGGAGAAGGCGTCGCCGAACAAAGGTGGGCAAGGTGTGGACTTCGCTCAAGGCTTGCTTGGAGTAAACCTTGCTCTGCGGCGGGGACCACACCTACAAGGTCCCTCACTTGAGCAAGGACAAGGCTGCACGGGCGGGAACGCCCATCCCACTGCGGTACCACATCTCCGAGGAGGCGTGGATCAAGGGCACACCGTCGCTCGCGGCGGGAGAGGGACAAGGAGGAGCCGCGTAGAATGGGACGGGGCGGGGGGGTAGTTCATGACGGGGCGGGCGGGTAGTTCTTGGCTTTTCGGTTTCCGTGCGCAGGTTTTTGGCAGAATGTCGTGGACCTGTAGCAGGAAGGAGCACCGCGTTTAGCGTTGGCCATTATTTTTGTTGTCCACTAAGTTAGGCAGACGAGGCGACGACAGATTGTAAACGTACAGCAGTTGTGGCGGCCATTATGTTTTAAGGAGCAAATACATTTGGACATGCTGTGAAGAATGCAATGAGCGGTGAACAACGGGATATGAGTGTTCAACTTGTGCGAGCACTACGGCTGTAACGCGACGATTTAACACCCCAAGTAGCGGCGATTCTACTGCTGCTGTCCACACGCCATTTGTACCCCCCCCCCCCCCCCCCC